GGTCCGTCGCGTCCGGCTGCCGGTCGCCCGCCCGCCATGCGCCCGCCGCCCCGCGTCGCTCTCGGTCTGTCGCTGCTGCCGCTGTTGCTTGTGCTGCCCGCCGCGCTGGGCACCGCCCGAAAGACGACGCCCTGCCAGCGCTGCCGGACGCTGGTGGACAAGTTCAGCCAGGTGGGGCCGCGGGCAGGGCGGGGCGCAAGGTGGGCGGCGGGGCGGCGCGCTGGCGGCTGGGCCTCGCCGAGCCGCCGCCACCTCCTCCGCAGGGCATGGCCAGCACGGCCAAGAAGAACTTCGGGGGCGGTAACACGGCCTGGGAGGAGAAGACGCTGTCCAAGTACGAGTTCAGGTGGGTGTCGGGACGGGCACGCGGGGACCGCTCGCTGCCTCCCCCCCGGGCTCCGCGGTGCCCCTAGGGCCGCTCTGAGCGCCCTCACAGGGGCCTTCTGACCGGCCGAGCGAGACGCCGGTCCCACCAGTGGGCCTCCTGCGCCCCTTCCCTTTCACCGAGAGCCCAGACCCCTTGCAAACCTCCAGGTGCCCGTTGGATGTATGGACCCAGGTCCTGGTGTCCATCACTAAAAGGGGCTGAGCCTGTGGCCCTCGGGGTTTGTGTTTCAGCGAGATCCGGCTCCTGGAGATCATGGAAGGTTTGTGCCCGAGCAGCGACTTCGAGTGTAACCAGCTGCTGGAAGCACAGGAGGAGAACCTGGAGGTCTGGTGGCATCGCTTGTGAGTGCGGGAACCCAGGTTGACAGCCTTGCGCTCGCCTCAGAGAAGTTCCAGCAACAGTGGCACTCTGAATTACTGTCCCATCTTAGCTGCACGAGGTTGCCACATCAGGAAGCTACCCAGAAGGGTCCCTGTCCCTGCTGGCACTGCCACAGAGCATGTACAGTGTCCCAGCCCGGGGTTGGCTTTCCGTGGCTTAGTTTCCACCACCAACCTCAGCCAGAAGATCTCAAAGTTAAGTAATCCACAAGTTTTACATCACTTTAGTACAATCCTTTTTTTAACATTTGTTATTTTATTATTAGCTACTGTTTTATCGTGTCTTAAGTTGCGAGTTAAGCTTTGTCTCAGGTCTTTGGGTGTGTAGGTAAGTGTGTAGCACGTGGAGGTTTTGGTGTGGGGGTCTTGGAGTGTGTCCAGTGGGGAGAAGCTGCATCACAGCATGTTGGTCATGTCAGAGCTAGTGACAGTTTCACATCCTTAGGAAGAAGGAGCACCCTGACCTATTTGCGTGGTTCTGCGTGCAAACGCTGGAAGTGTGCTGTCCTCCGGGAACCTACGGGCCAGACTGTCGTGGTATGTGTTTCCTTGGGCAGATCTAAAGCCTGTGTTTCCCATGTGTTAAACACACAGAGGACAGCTGGGCTGTGTTACCGTCTGGCGCCCTACCTCTTCCTTAAGGTGGGCAGAAGCCCCCAGCTGAGCCCAGGCCTGGAGATGCCCTGACCCTATTTTAAAGAGACCCTCCCTGGCCTAGAGGGCTGAGGTCAAGTCACACAGGTCACATAGGAGCATGTTCGGCAGAGACACACTTAGAGAGGCTTGGGATGGAGCCTGGCGGCTTCTGCAAAGTGCTGAGGTGGAGCCCGGCCTACTCCGGGGAGCTGCAGGAGCTGCTCATGTTGGCCAGGGGTTTCAGGTTCAGCCCGTGTGGGCTTGTGGCCACTTCCTGCCCGCCTCTCCCACTTTCCCCAGCCATGGGGTTCCCCATGCTAGGATGCCTAAGCATCCTTTTCCCTGCTTTGGGGGAAGATTTCCAAAACCCATGCTTAGTGATCAAATTGGAAGCCACAGCTCTGTCCTCCACAGGTGACCCCACCTTGGCTCTTCAGGCCCCACAGCCACTGTCCCGTAGAGCCCTCATCAGACTGGTGGTCTCTGCAGCGGGATGGTACAGGGCAGCGTAGGGCTTTTTTTTTTTTTTTTTTTTTAATGTATTTGGTTGGTCTCACTACAAAGCTTGGGCTCGTAGTGACCCTCCTGCTTTCAGCCTTCCCCAGCGCTGGGATTACAGGCGTGCACCACTGTGCCCAGACTCTAAGAAGGCCGGCTCAGCCTGCCCGGGGGCAGGGCTGGTGGCACGTGGCTCCGGGGACCGAATAGCTATCCCTGCACTTGCCTGAACGGGCGCTTTAGTCCTCTGAACTAGCTTGCCGGCCCAGGGCTTGGGCTTTAGGGAGAGACCCGAACAACCAGCCACCCCAGTGTACCTTGAGCGTGGGTGTGTGCCCTCCAGCGTGCCAGGGTGGATCCGAGAGGCCCTGCAGCGGGAACGGCCAGTGCAGTGGAGATGGCAGCAGAGACGGGGACGGCTCCTGCCAGTGTCACCCAGGCTACAAGGGGCCCCTGTGTGCTGACTGTATGGATGGCTACTTCCAGTCACTGAAGCCCGAGACCCAGAGCACCTGCACAGGTAAGGGTGGGCCTGCACTGAACTTGGAAGGCAAGAAAAGGAAACCTGGGTTGACTCTCAGCCCAGGCTCCCGGGGAGCCCGGAGCCCGAAGGACATGGCCCTTCCAGCCATCCTGGAACAGCCAATCCCAGCCTGCCCCTGCTAGCCGCTGAGCACTCAACCCACCGAGTGACAGGTTCTGTCACCCTGCCACCTAGTGTGGGCTGTGCTCCAGCGAGTACCCACAGCATTCTGGCTAGAAGTTTGCTGTCCTCATACAACAGATGATCCCTTGAGAGCCCTGTTGTGTGTCCATGGGGCCACAGCAGAGTGTAGGGACAAGGACGAGCCGCTCGCACAGTCTTGGAGGGAGCAGGAGACAGTAGGAATGGGAAGGCCCCTTGGCAGTGGCTTCCAGCCTGGAGCCTGTCCCCACACAGCTCCCTCCCTGGGGAAGCTGACCTGCTGGGGGCCGCCCCGCAGCTCCCCCCCCCCAGCTGCTCACAGTGCTCTGGCTCTTGTGGGACACCAGAAGCTGTGTGTGTGGACTGCCTGCTTGGAGCGCTGGCCACCCCACGCCTCTGGGGTCAGGCCAGGCCAGGCCCCTCTGCAGGTCCTGCTCCCACTCTGTCCTTCCTCTCACTTGTGGGTGGGGGGGTCCGTGATGGTGCTGTCTGCTCAGTGCGGACCCCGGGGCCTGGGGAGCCATCTCTGATAGGTTTTCGATGGTGTCGCAGCAGAGAAACAGGGAGAAGGAAAAAGGGAAAGGGGCTTTATTATAGGGGCTTCATTATCTGGGAGGATACAGAGAGAATTTGGGAAGATAAGGAATTCTCTGTCTTGTACAATGAATAACCACTGAGACAACAATGTGCAATGTATTTATTATTGAAACTGTCATACTGATGGTTTTGAAACTGTCTCGTTGCTATTTGTTTCTCAATAAAATTATTTTTTAAAAATAAAAATTTAAAAAAAAAAAAAAAGGAATTCTCTGGATTGGAACAAAGGGAGACTGACCTGGCTTTTATGGCCTCTTGCCAGGAGTGGAGCTTGAGGGTGACGAGCGATTGGGGCCTTCCCTGAGGGGGCGGAAAGGTGAAAGGAAATGGCACCCAGGGCTGAGTTGGAGAAAGGGGAAGGTGGTCTCTGGGAAGAGGAGCTGTTGTTTTACAGGCTTCAGCCATATTAGATGACCACTGTAATTATCCAGCAGTTCATACTAGGGCCAGAACCTATCAATCTCCAGGTTACAAACCTCCTGGAGTCCGGCGTATGCCGTGCACGTTGGGGCTTGTGGGATGAAGCCCAAGGTGCTGCTCTCCTGAGGCCAGGAGTGCGCGGAGCCTCAGGACATCTCACGTCTCTACTGAGCTGGCCTTGCTGGCCTTTTCTGTTCTCGTGTCTGATTTCCCTGCTGGACTTCAGTTCCCAGCCTGAGCTTTCTTCCACATGGACTCTGAGGGGACTCGCACCCCCTAAGGATGTCCTAATGCAGCCCCCTTTGCCTTCCAGCCTGTGACGAGTCCTGCAGAACATGCTCAGGCCCCACCAACAGGGACTGCATCAAGTGTGAAGCGGGCTGGGAACACGTGGAGGGTGCCTGTGTGGGTGAGGGCCACTGGCAGTGGGAAGGCAAATCGTGTGTTCAAATACCCTGCTGCCACCTCCAAGGAGCAGTGCTGGGCTCTGGGCTTGGAACTGGGTGCTTAGCTGGAAAGCAGTGTCACCATTGTCTGCCGTGTTCCCTGTCCACATCCCACCCCCATGTCACCACCTGCATCTGTGGTGTCTTGCCTGTCACCTGCTCCCGCTGTTTGAGCATGATGCTGCAAACCCAGTCCCGTGGCACATCTTACAGTCCAGATGCCACCTGAGCCACTCTCTGTGGCTGTGGGTTTTGGTTTCACCCTTAGCAGCTCTTTGGCCTTAGGCAAATTAGGCGCTGGGTCCGCTCAGGTTTCCCAGCGAGAGCTGCACAGGTGAAGCCTTGGGGGGTGCTCACTCGCCAGCTGTCCATCCCGGTGGTTCCCCACCCTGCCTGTCTGTGGCCAGTCTCAAGTGGTCCCTCAACCAGTGGGCCACAGGACCGTGCTGTTGTTTTCCAGATGTGGACGAATGTGCGGCAGAGCCTCCTCCCTGCAACGATACCCAGTATTGTGAGAACGTAGCCGGCTCTCATGCTTGCGAAGGTAGCCCGGGTTGGGGGGCGCTGGGACACCTGTCCCCTGTGGACTCGCCCAGGGCTCTGGCTCTTCCCTGAGCACCTGAGATGTCTTGCCATAACTTCAGAACACTCAGTTTTAAAAACATTTAGCACCGCAATAATGTAGTTGCTAGTTGCAGAATAGCCTGTATGTGGCCCTGGTGAGTATGCGGCGAGCCGGTGTCTTGGTGGACATTGAATCGCAGCAGTTTCCCAGCCCTAAAGACCCTCCTGGGGAAAACGCCACTCTTCAAACTGGGAGATTGTGTGGGTCCGGGCATTGGTGCCAGACCAGCGTCCCTGCGGCAGGGACAGTCAGTGCCAGCGGCGGCATCCTTGGCAGTGAGGGGCACCGGGCCTTCTTCCATCCTTGCCAGTCACTCAGGAAGCTCTCGGGGAGCGAGCCGGTGCCATCACACAGTTGGGAGTATGGCTGGGCACAGACGGTGGTTGTGAGGAGGTCAGCGTGGTGTTTCAGGGAGAGAAACCCACGCTCCCGCCAGGGCGCGCTGTCAGATGTGGGCTGACGTCTCCTGCCTTATTTCCAGAATGCGATTCCACCTGTGTGGGGTGCACAGGAAAGGGCCCGGAGAAGTGCAAGGACTGTGTCCCCGGCTACAGGAAGGAGAGCGGGCAGTGTGCAGGTCAGTGCTGCGCTCTGGGCCGGCTCCCCGAGAGGCACGGGGCCACCTTACTTGAGCCACGTGTGGCGCGCCAACGCCGACACCTCTCCCCGTGGCCCAGGGCGCCCTCCGTGGTACACGCAGGCACTGCTGAGCACACGCTGGGCCCCTTCCAGCAGAGCCTGGCCTAGGGCAAGTGGCGTGCTCCCATCCCCTCCCCCTCCCCAACTCTGCGCCATGTGCGGATGGAGTCCGTCCGGGTGGACGTTTTCAGTCAGCAGTGTGTGTTGGCCGGAAGAAATAGCTTCCCAAAACAGGTATTTTACCTCAGACATAGATGAGTGCTCACTGGCAGAGAAAGCGTGCACCAGAAAGAACGAGAACTGCTACAACACCCCAGGGAGCTTCGTCTGCGTGTGTCCTGACGGCTTTGGGGAGACGGACGACGAGTGTGTACCGCCAGCCGAGGGTGGTGAGTGCGTGGCTGGTGGACTCGTGGGCAAGGGTGTGGCGCCAGCCTCCGACTGCGGTGCCGGTGCAGGAGAGCCATGGCCCCACCAAGGGCCAGTGTCGCCCATGGGGCTAGGCTAGGGCTGCCGGGGCTGCTCCCAGGCTGTGACGTCTGTCACGGCTGTTTCCTCCCTGTCCTTGCATGGTCTTCTGTGCATGGTCTGTCCCTTCCAGACCTCTGTGAGGATGCCACCAGGCCGCAGTCCAGGCCCAGCCTAGGGCCCAACATTTCTTCCTGTCACAGAGACCCAGTTTCCAAACAATGCTGTAGTTGGGGGCTTTGCATTAGGATACCAGCAGCCTTGGCGCACAGGTCAGCCGCGATGTCTTGGCTCTAGAATAGTGAGAGCTGGAGCTGGGCAGTTAGGCAGTTAGCGTGCTCACGGCCGAGTCTTCCAGGCTGCAGTGTGGTCCCATGCCCTGGAGCACCACAGGGCAGGACTGCAGCCTGAGTCACTGGCACCTCCTTGGCACAGCGGTCACAGCACCTCGCCCGCAGGGCCCAGCCTTGAGTCGGAATCATCCTACACAGTGGTTGTGCCCTGCTCGGAAAGGCCTCAGCACAGGGCTGTGGGCATCTTGTTCCAAGCCACTTTAGAAGCCCACTGTATAAACAGCCCGCTGCGGTCCCTGGGCTGTGGCCAGCTGCCGGTCAGCACGGGAGCCCCTGCGTGTCTGCTGTCTCAGTGACCTGTTTCCCAGCAGAAGCCACGGGAGACAGCCCAAAACAGCCACCTGCCCGTGAGGACTTGTGACCAGAGCCAGATGCTCCCTGTCAGTCATTCAGAGGAGCCCTGCAGGAACCAGGCTGTGGACATGGCCCCGTCTGCAGGGGACTGCTCCAGGGAGCTGCTGCTGCCTTGAAATGGTTGCTGCTCATTTGGCCTTTAAAAGCTGCATTTCTCAGTGGTTGTTCAACAGATTTGTATATTTTGATATCATTCTTTGTAATAAAATTGACCATTGAAGGAAGTTAAGAATAAAATATGTGGATCTGTGTCACAGAAACAATGGGCCTGCTAGGTGTGCTGGCGTGCACTGCTGAGGAGGCTGAGGTAGGAGCACTGGAGTCCAAGGCCTGCACCACTTGCTGGCTCTCGGATCAATGTAAAACCCAGAGAGGGCTGGGAAGTGGCTGAGGGAACATTGGTCCAGCCGGGCAAGGCCCTGGGTCGGTTCTGCCTGGGTCTGTGCCCGTCCTGCTGGAGGGGCAGAGGACACTGCTGTCCTTGAGCAGGGCGTGTGGTCCCCATGCTCCCTGCCGCCCCTCCCTAGGCCCTCACATGGTGGCCCCAGGCCCTGTCAGGCTCCTGGGCAGAACTCCCTGGAGGTGGGGAGGTGGGGTCCCAGGGAATGCCCTCCAGAATGTGGAAAGTGACGGGTGAGGGACAAGGAGAGGGCACAGGCACAGCCCCTGCGCCTCAGGTGAGAGACACAGCCTGCCGTTGGGGCATCTAGAGTCCCTGACTACATGCGGCTGGTAGTGGTTGGAGGGGGGCAAATGTGAGGACTGGGCAGCCCAGGTCCCAATGGTGGGGGTGGGGCAAGGACACAGAGCCAAGAGGTGAGGGAGTGGGGCCCCAGGCAGGGGGATGCTCGCTGCCAGGCACACCAAGTGCAGGGACCACTGTCCGGCCTCTGCCTGCCGCCATGACAGGCCCGGTGTTGGTGGCGCTGTCCAGGCCAGGAGTAGAACCCGCAGCCTGCTGCTCCTGGAACCTGGAGTCCTCCAGGCGCTGTGTCCCCACACTAAGACCATGGCCCTACAGTGCAGGTAGTGGGAGGCACCTGGGCACCTCCTGCAGGGCCTGGAAATGGTCAGTGCTTACCACACCAGCCCTGTGCACTGCAGCAGAGTCCCCGTGTCAGGCGCACTGCTGTGTCCCCCGCACATGCCCCCACCTCTTCTTCCTCCCTATAAATGGGAGCGTATTCCCTGGAGGACCCAGGACCAGCAGGCTCACCCACAGCTGGGAGGACAGAGAGTGACAGCCCCAGCTGGATCCCACCAGGCAGAGCAAGAGGCAGCCAGATGTCACTGGGGGCTGGGGACACATGTGTCCCACGTCCTGAAGACCTTGGGGTTGCTGACGCAGCAATCCTGTCCACTCAGGACCCCTCCTGTGTCTGCCCCTTGGTGCTGCTCCCTGGGCCAGGACCCACGAATATATGGCCAGCAGGTGGCGCTGCGGGACCGCCCTGGAAGACCTCTTGCAGGACAGCAAGGTAGGCGGTTCTGCCGAGTGGCTGAGCAGCGGGACCAGCACCCCAAGTCCCCACTCAGTGATGAGGAGGGAGCCTTGGCTTTGACCTGCTTCGGTCTCTGCAACCTGGGCCTAGCCACGGCTCTTTGCCATGACCCTTGCATGGACCTGCGTGGCCCAGGCTTCCGGAAGTGCCCAGGGCAACACTGTCCCCTGCACTGACTTCAGGTGGGTCTGGCACTGCACAGTGGTGCTCTGTAAGCCATCAGATCTCAGCAATGCTAGGGATGATGTCTAGGAACACCAGGCACCCCAGCCCCAAGCACGGGCCAAAGGCAGCTGGGCAGTGGCCAGACTCCCTGGGGGGCCCTGGGCACACACTGAGGATCTGTGGCAGCCTCGCCAGGCCAGGGCCCAGCCGCACCCCTGGCGTCTGATGCAGCCTCCTGCAAAGCACGTTGTCTACCTGGCTATCCGCATCTTGTCCACAGCAGCTCCGTCCCAGCAAGTGCTGAGTGGGCTTTCAAATTCCCACCTGGGCAGGTCTATAATCCTAGCTCCCCCAGAGGCTAAAGCAGGAAGATTACAAGTTGGAGGCCAGTCTGGTAACGCAAGTGAGACCTGGTTTCCAAATAACTACGGTAATGCCTGACTTACAGACACAGGAGTCTTGAACTTGCCCAGGTGTTCTGTAAGGCTCACTTTGTTGCCTTCCCAACAAATCTGACTTAGGAGCAATTCTCCAGACCAGAACTTGCCTGGTCAGGAACTTGCTGTACATTGGCTGGGACTGTAGCTAATTACACACTGGGTTCAGCCCCAGTGCTGAAAACACAAAAGGCCTGCCCTGTCTGTCCACAGCCTCTCCCGTGGCCTCTCCTGTGGCCCGGCCCTGAACCTCCACTGTCCCTTCCTGGGTTCAGGCAGCCAGCCAGTGGTGCTCAAGCGTCCTTCTCTTCCTCAGGGGTTACCGGGCTCCCGAGGTGCCATTGTTTCCCTCACCAGGCACAGCACTGACCACAGCTGGCCAGCACCACTTGCAACATCTTAAGCAGTGTCCAACCTTCCCCAGGTTTGCCAAGCTTGCCACAGGGGGGTCCAATGGGCTGGTCCCAGTGCTGGTCCAGGCACACAGGCCTGATGTCCTGTCCAGCCAGCAGACAGCCTTACTCCATGGGCCCCTGTAGAGGGCTCATGAGGGCCACCACATTTCCTACCCTGTCTTCAGCCTGCAGGTTTGGACCCAGTAGACCATGGACTGAACCCTCTACAAACTAAGCCAGGATAACCCTCCCCGCTAAGCTGTAGGTATGAGGTGTTGTCCCCCGAGTCAGAAGAATAGTGAGAAGACACCACTCCTCAGGGCCCCTGCCTGAGCACAGAGCATCTGCCTGGTGTCTGGGACAGTACTACACTGAGAGTAAGAGGCCACAGCTCTAGATCACACCCCATGGAAGTGAGTCTGGGGGCTCCCAAGCTCAATGTAGGATGGGGGCACTCTTGCCATGGGCCTGGGCTGACGCCTGCTCTGCCATTCCCTGTCACCACCTGCCTTCCATAGTGGTCCAACTACGGGATGAGCAAGATGCAAGGGGTTGCCACCCTGGCAACCCTGAATGTCACCTGTGCAACTCTGCCTGGCCGAGGCCAGTGGTGGAGGCTTGCACTAGACCACCTGATAGGTGGGCCACAGGCAGTGCATACCACCAGGGCTGCTGCTCTCAGTGCTGGGACTGGAGGTGACCCAGGTGGGTGGCACTGACCAGTCTCTGCCACCTGCCCTGTGAGCCTCCCAGGAAGCCACAATGTCCATGTCAGCCCTGGGCTCGGGCCTCCACATGCTGGCAGTGAAGTGTCAGCAAGAACCCCTTCCGTGCCAGTGTATCCCTTTTGCCGCTTAGTCTCCCATTCCGTGGCCAGCCTGCCCATGGGGCTTGTCTCAGTGTGAACTCCTCCATACAGGGCCCAGCTCCTCTTCATCTGGGGCTCTGAGTCTGGACCCCAGTGTAGTCTGGAAACTAGGGAGGGTGATGTTTGTGTACCTGCAACCACCCTAGCCTCCCCATCAAGCACCCCAGTGGCCCCTGCAGGCTGGGCTCCCTGGTCAGTGGCCCGTCTGCCCGGGACAGCCCCTAACCTTGCCTGCCACCCACAGAGGACCAGGAGCTGACACCGCGCCACCGCTGCCCTGGCAGCCCTATTGATGAGGCAGTCACACCCTGGCCGGGAGCTTCCTGACTTCCTCCTAGAGAAGCCAGCTGGCCTTGACCTATCGTGTGTGTATTCCGCATGGCCAGGGGCCACCTCCTCCTGGGGGCCAAGCCCTGCACCTCAGGACAGGACCCTACGACCAGCAGGCTCCCAACACCCTGTGGGGTCACACTGCTAGCTCCCAAGACACAAAGAACTTGCTCCTCGATGTGGACAGGGCAGGGAAGGATCCTGAGGAACTGGGGAGAGGCCTTGGAGGGCCCTGTGGACCGAGAGCACCCTTCCATGCCAGCACTGCGCTGGCCACCTGCCAACCTGGCCACCCCAGGGGGCCAATTCCTGCTGTCCTTGCCTCTTCTGTCCCTCTCTTCATCCCCCTTTCAGAGTCTCAGGGAGCGCCCAGTGCGGTGATACTGTCCACAGCTCATGCCCTGCACAGTCATGGTGAGGTGTCCCCGAAAGAGGCCCTGGTCTAAGGCTTAGGCACCAGCTTGAGGCTACTGAGAGTCTGAGTAGACCCTTTAAGGGGCCCGTGGGAGTCTTCAGGTCTAGGGGTATCCTGGGGAGCCACCAGGGGAGGCACACTGCTCTCCACAGCCCGCCAGGTGGCGCCCAGAGCAAGGGGCCTGGGACCAGGGACAGAAACCCCAAGCCCAGAGCCAAGGTCGTCCTCAGAGCTGTGCGTCTCGTCTCGGTTCGCGGCGGGGTGGAGGGCTGCTTTGCCTCCTGTCGTCCCTCTCAGCCCACCGGGGACAGTCGTGACCCCGCTGGCCCGGTGAGGGGGACCCAGGTCTTCTGGAGTGCTGGAGGCGACTCCAACGGCCAGAGGCTGGGGTGGCTCTTTGTAGGCTCCCTGGGCTGTGGGTTACTCTGCGTTGGGGGTCGGGGACTCAGGGGAGCTCCATGGCCCAGAGAGGTCGGGGGCCTAGGGGCTCCGGAGTCCAGTCTCTCAGGATTGGGGTACACACGGGCCTCGAGGGGCGCTCCCGGGGAAGGGATGGCCTGAAGCATCCAGGACTTGGGGAGTAGGGGAGGGATGGGAAGAGGTAGCGCCCAGCTTCGGGTCTGCCCCGCCCCTCCGATCTGCCCCCCCTCCCCCGTCCAGCCCGCTACAGAAGCCAAGGACAACAGGACAGTGGTTATGCGGGAGCATCCATGGGGTGGAAGCCACCACCTTCTTAGCGCTGTGACCCGTCGGCCAGGTCCGAGCCCAGGTGGCAGCCCTCGCAAGCCCTGCAGCCCTGGCACTGCCATCCTGAACGGGTCCCCCTTTCCACCTCAGGTCTTTGTGCTGCAAAAGGGCTACCTGGTAACCCTGCCAGCGGTGGCCTGGTCAGCCACTTCTGGCAGATGGTGGGGCTGTTTCCCAAAGGCCATATGGATTGGGGCAGGAGCTGCAGGTCCCTGCGACCCCACAGAGTCCCCCTACTTCCACCCACCCACTGGGTCTGGGCACCCCAAGCTAAGAACCAGGGTCCCGCCCTCTGCACCCTGCTCCATCCCACGCCACCGCTGGCACCCCAGCCTCGTGTCCCGCCCCCCCACGTGCCCACTGCC